TAATCAAACTTAGGTCTGATTATATTTCGATACCATATATTTTGAGTTAATACGATAAATTTCAATTGGATTCAAATTGCTGGATTCTACCAAACACATACCATGGTCCCCTATGCTTTATTGCTTCAACACAAATTTATTAATACCAACAATTGATGTGAAATCCCAGTTTGTTTGTATCCAAGAAACTTCGCGTTAAAGAAAATGTAGTTAATAACCCGTCGTGCAAGCCTCCCACTGGGGGCCAATATGCCAAAAGCGCGAAAAAAACCATACTTTCCTTCCCTTTTTTCGCCCTCATGTAGCCGGAGGGGGACACAGGGACATAAAAAGGGGAACTATCAAAACTTGTTCACAACATTTCACAGGAGATTCAAATACAAACCACACACTTTCAATACTAGCAACTTTACATAGTTTCATAGTAAAAAACACTTGTAAAAACATAAGCTTTAAATACTGTTTCAAAACACCTCTTTGGATAGTTTTCCTTTTTTGGCCATTGTACTGTTTTTGCCTATTTTCCAAGGATTGATTTGATCCACCAAATTCCTTTGGTGTCTTTGGGGCTATCTTCACTATCTGGTGGGGAATCAGATTGTGGCGTCTTGTGGAGCTTACTCACGTCGTAGCCTTCTTCTTTAGCCTTCTCAACAAGCTGGTTGTAAATCTCATCGTCAAGACGTGTTTGCCTACTTAATATCTGCCAACAAAATACATTTTGTTAAGACGAAAAACAAGAATCCATTGGAAAAAACATGCAAAAACACTAGGTGATTTCTTTCGACTTGTCCAAGCCTTAGTGAGAGGGAGGTACTAATTGACGTGCGTGAAAACTTGGCCAAGACACCACAGTCGAATAAAAAAAATGCACATTTGATAGACCAACAAACAGAAGGCTTGAAATAAAATAGGGAGTCTGTGTAACTAAATATACTATTGACTTCTTTAGTTTACATGAAACAAAAGTTTCAGAATTGGGTATGGAAGGAATAATGCCTAATGTTTTATTAGTAAACGATATTCATTTCAATACGAAGAGGAAGAGAAAGGTAGACAAATATGGTTTTCTACAAATCTAATCAGCAGAGCGTTTAATGTCGTCAATGACACGTCGAGGATCTTAGGAAAGCAAAAGCTTCAAATTATATCTAATGGAATGAACATGCTCAACGCGAGGATCATTCATGAAATTTAACATAAACAACAAACTGAGATACCACAAACTATATAATTGGTTCATGCAAATAAGGTATCACAGGCTTGAAGAACTAAAAGTATTAAAGACTTGATAGAACTCTTCAAGGAAATTACAAGTGAGAGCAGTCAACATAACAATGACAGAAAAACTAGCATGTTGAAGGACTCGGTCACTAGACATGATTTCACATCTAAACGGGTCGCCCGATACACAAAGCTTTCCGTCTTCATGTAAGGCCCTGGGAAGGGCAACAACCCAAGGGTGTGTGATGTACATAGACTAACCCATCAATCACACCGAAAAAAAACTTTACAGTTATTTCAAGGCTCACCTTCACCATGTTTTTAACTCTATGTACTAAAAACACATCCATTTTAAAGACTACACATATCTTTAATTTGAAACCACAAGATCCAAGAACCTCCCTTTGTTCCTTAAACTTCATACTCAATCAAACTAAGACACTTACAAATTGGCACAGAGGGAGTCTACAACTTATCTATCCAACACCTAATAAGCAAAAGTAGTCTAGAACTTCTACACTAAAAATCCTGACTCCGCCTCAGTCTACCAAGTAAAGCTCATCCAATTCATACAAAATGTTAAAGACAATAACTTTAAAGGATAACAAAGAAATTTACCAGAGATACTTCCTACTAGGCTGACCATCTATCTATGTACATAAAAAAATTCAAAAAATTATCTTATTCTGTTATACATATATAGTTGACACCATCCTGCCCCTTCATCACAAGATGACAACTTTACCATTGTTCCAAGGCTACCATAACTCGTCCAATTTTTTTACAACACATGACAAAGACAAAAATTTCGAATGTCAAAAGTTAGAAACAGGGAACATACCTATAGATACTTCCTACTAGACTGACCATCTATCTATGTACATATAAAATTCAAAAGAATTATTTCATACACACACAGTGAACACCATCCTGTCCCCTGATAACAAAACGACAACTATACTATCGTTCCAAGGCTAACATTATTCATCCATTTTTCAATGACAAATGACAAAGACGACAACTTTAAACGTCAAAAAGTTAGCAACATGGAAATTACCCATAGATACTTCCTACTAAGCTAACCATATATCTATGTACATAACAAAAATCAAAAAATTATCCTATACATATATAGTGAACACCATCCTCCCCCTGATCACAAGACGACAACTTCACCATCGTTCCAAGGCTACCATTACTCATCCATTTTTCAATGACAAAGACGACAACTTTGAATATCAAAAGGTTAGCAACATGAAACTTACCCATAGATACTTCCTGCTAGGCTGACCAAAAACATAAACAAAAATCAAAAAGTTATCCTATACATATATAGTGAACACCATCCTCCCCCTGATCACAAGACGACAACTTTACGATTGTTCCAAGGCTACCATAACTCATCCACTTTTTACAAAAAATGACAAAGACAACAACTTCAAATGTCAAAAGTTAGAAACAGGGAACATACCCATGGATACTTCCTACTAGATTGACCATCTATCTATGTACAAAAAAAATTATCTTATACATGTATAGTTAACACCATCCTGCTGCCCACCTGATCACAAGACGCCAACTTTACCGTTGTTCCAAGGCTACAACAACTCATCCATTGTTCAATAACAAATGACAAAGACAACAACTTTGAATGTCAAAAGTTAGGAAAAAGGAAACTTACCCATAAATACCTCCTACTAGGCTGACCAATCAAAGCATACTGATAATCCTCATCAATATACAAAACCCAATAATCACCAGTAACAGGAATTATAGGCAAAAATGGTGGAACATAAAACCTGACTTTCAATTTTGCCTCATCACTATTAGGGTCAGCCTTATAAGCAGTTCCTTCAATAAACCCTCTTTTGCCATTACACCATGTCTCATTCAGCACATGTACAGTGCCATCTGAGTTCAATGTATAAGTAGCCCTTGTGTCCACTCCATCTTTAGGCTGAAATCTTGATGGAAATGAAGCAATTTCATACCATCTACCCATATACCTCTTTAAATCAAGATTTTTCACCACTTCCATTACTTTTGTAGCCATTATTTTGAAGTTTAAACAAATGGGGTTTTCAAGATTTGGGAGATTTTTTGATAAAAATGGAATCTTTAAATAGGGAGAATTTCCATTGATTGTAGGATTTTGGGTTTTTAGAGAGTATATATATATATACAAGAGAAATTCATGTTATGGGATGGACGTGGATATTTAAGGACCTTACATTTTTAAAAGTTAATTTTCTTGGGAACTTCCTTTAACAATTAAACATTTTATTTTGCCAGGGTTTTAAAAAAGAATGATTTTTTTTTTGGTAATATTTTAATTTTAATTTTTTACGTGATATATTTAAAACTATAAGATTAAGTGACATTTTGGTATATTTGACCTCTTCTTTCTTTTCTTAAACTTCGTTCCAAGTCAAACCAGGTCATCCTTTTTTAAATGGAGGAGTATTACATACTATGTCCGTCCACTTTATTATTAGGATTATTTTTAGAGTCAAATGATAAGTAGCTTGACTAACATTTTACGATTATATAATGAAAAAAATGTAATTTATACTATTTCATATATCTACATTTTTTTTGTTTAAAATATCAAAATTAATGTAATCTAATTTCACTTTATAAATTAGTCAATTGACTTTCGAAAAGCATAAAATGATAGTCAAAAGTGGACAACGGGAATATTAATTATCCACTTTACTAGATCAAAAAAACTTTAATTACATTTTCCTTATATTACCCCTACAATTAATTCTTTTTAATAAATTTCACATTTGTTCGTAAAATTTGTAAGAAGTTTTTTAAGGAGTGAATTAATACAATTATATTTTTACTTATGATTTTTTTAATATGCGTATATAAAAAAAGAAAATGATCAATCAATATAGAACGGAGAGAGTTTATGTTACGTATTCAAATTCGTTTGAACAAAGCGAGATAAATCCAATTCATTAGATATTATTCATTTTAGTTCCTTTTATTTCGAAAGCCGTTTCAATTTTTATATCTCTTTTTTCTATCGTGAAAGTATTGATTTTCGATATCGAAAGCTTGGACGCTAACGAGTGGGACATATTTCGAAGTAATTATTTGAATTTCTTAGCATGTATCACGCACCTCACTATCTACATTTTACTTGTACTACCTTACTCATAGGATAATTATAAATAATATAATTTATACAAGTTAAAATTCATAAATATATTATTAGAGTATTAACTTATATCTTTTCTTTTGTTAGATTAAAATGACGATATGTATAAACTAATAATGATTTAATGATAAAAAATGAATATGTAAGTATATGTCATGTATTTAGTGAATTGGCGTACTAAAGCAACAAATGTCTTTTTGGCAGTTTATTATGATCCCTTTTAGGAAAGTCGAAAATAACTTATATACCTTACCCTTTAAGAAAAGTCGAAAATAACTTATCTACCCCTTGTAAGAATAAAATCTGTGTCTTTTACTAGATGTGGTGTAGTGAAGTAAACGAAGTATTAGAAGAGATCTTTTTCTGATAGAGAAGAGTCACTCAAGCTAGTTTTTGCTTCGATTTTAATTTATACGTCTTACTTTGTTTTTTAATATATTTCAAAAGAATATCGATCTTCTTTTAGCAACTTTTTATTCCTTAACATTCGAAGAGTGAAAAATATTTTAGTACATTCTACGTATCTTTAACTTTAAGACCACAAAGTTTTAAAAAATCTTCTTTACATTTTTATACTCCAAGTCAAGTCAATTCAAAATCTGATAAATAAATTGAAACGATAGAGTATATATAACATACTATCAAATGCAAATAGTACAATATTCCAAATTTGATGCTGCAATTACAAGAGGATAAAAATGAAAACTTTGGTGTCAAAGAAAGCACAAAATTTGTCAACAGAAATATTGTCCATATTAATAAACATTCTTGGGTAAGAAAAATACAAACATGGTGCATTTGATAGCAAATGCTAACATTTTAAAGAACAAAGCATTATCTCAGAACTTCAGTAGCCAGAACCAGAGAATTGCATCATTGAGGTCTCATGCAAAGTAGGGAAGCTGAGGCAATGTGATACACAGGCGTTGTGGCCCCTGGCAATGCTCAGCGACAACACGAGGGGTGGGTGGGCTTGCCTCATTCTTGAAGCTACATTCTCTTCTGTCACCGACTGGCGTCTACACTTCATCCTCAGGTTCAATATAAGCTGGTTTTTCCTTGTACTAGTGTATCCATCCATTGGCAGTTAAGAGTAATGCATAAATTTACTTAGTAACATGCTTTGGGATAGCAGTTCAATTATAGAAGATGTAAAATCAAGATTTAAGCGCAAGATAGGCGTATTAGTTATAAAGTAGTATGGGATATAATTCATGTCAAGTTTGATGATATTCCGAGGTGTAGTTCAAAGTAATGGCCAAAATGATCTTAAATAAACACAAGCAAATTGAAGGTACATTTTTTTCACCTTTTCATGAGGGCGGATCCAATTTTCATTCAACCAAAGCCAGCAATCTTTACCATCAGTACCACCAACAATTGAAATGACACCGGTCCGCCACCCAGCAAAGATGAAATGCAACATTGTTCACCTGAAAAGAATGCCAGACGCGACAAGAACTGTAGAACGGACTGTTAGCTGACATACTCATGTTTAGGTACGGATTCACCTTCACCAGATAACAAATGCATTTACTCAACCGAGAAAAGAATTTTTTCTTTAGGGTTATGGCGGTGGCAGCCGAAGCTGTTGATTCAGTGGTTCCAGAATGATGGTAATCTAAGTCTCTTTCCAGAAAGACCAGGTTAAAAAAGAAAATGAACTATGTTAAGAATGAGGCTCAGATTTTCGCTTATTTAATCCAAAATGGAGGAAGAGCAGAGTTAACACTGCTGCAGTTGCAAGCAACAATTGCCTTACAAGACCTTCCAATTGGACTTGGCCAAGCCAGGCCATGAATCAACTCTCATCTTATTCACATTTTCATTTTCAATATGACATCTTCATTGCCTTGGAAAACTTGGTGCATTCAGGATCTAAAAAGGCATGAAAGTTTGAGTAGTGTAGATAAATGCAGCAAAAACCAGCTTCAATATCAAACTGTTTAAAGACATTATATGGATCCTAAATATCCACTTCCATTCCCTTTGGACTTATTTCATCTCAGTGTACCTAACAATCTATGGAAATTGTATAGAGGGATACATAGGAAGTTTCATTTCTCAAAGGGGACTCTTCCTATATGTGCTGATAGTACGAAGGATGAAAAAAAAAGACTACATATTGTAGAACCAAAACTTTAAACAGAAAAGAGGCTCAGATTTTGAGTGAAAATCAATCAGAAAAAAAGGGCTACTTCACCATGGCTGCAAAAAGCAGATACGTGTGACAGAGCACGTAAGAACCAGCCTCATGAATTCCCCTGCCTTTGCCTAGCCAAGATATGAATCAGCTTAAAAATCTGATTTTCAAACTTCCTGGAGAATATCATCACAGCCTCATCACAAAGTTTAGGGTTGAGGATTTGGGTTTTTCTAGAAAAGTTGAGGGGGGAAACGTAATTTTGCTTATTATTAATATTATTATTATCATAACCATGGCAATCATCGTCATCATCAAGAACATTTTGCTGATGAGAGGGCTGTTAAACTATATCTGTCTAACAAAAGCATAGGAAACTTCATTGGCTAAATTGAACTTAAGAGAAAAGAGAATAACCACCCTCAGAAAATCACTACCTTTCTCGAGTTCAATAAAATGCCTCATTTACTGAACACAGAGATATACTTGGAGGCTCAGATTTGCCTTTTGTCATTCAAAAAGCTAAACAATGGACATGGGCGCATGGCTGCAAGCATTAATAGTCCAGTAAGATAGTTCCCATATCTCACGGAGCCTTAAAGCTGCCATGCCAATCCCCATCAGTTGAGTGACCTTTTGAGATATTAACCACAGACTTTAGGACTTATATTTTGTTGTGCATGAACATGCAAAGAGAAAAGGACAACGCCATGGCTGCAGACACCAGTTTGCAAATGATGCCATACCTAGTCGCCCTGCCAAGATACGGTTCAGGTTTTCTCAATGCAGTAAACTAGGGTGAATTACAAGAATGGCCTGTAGATGTGCGTGGTCTTTGACCCACTTACTCCATGGGCAGAACTTTCGAATTCAGTCTTCGACTTGAAGGTTTTCCATGGGGAAGCGGGGTCAAGACCACCCATTATCAAGGTCATTGGTGTAATTTACTGTGTAAGAAAGGAATAGGGAGATCACCGGCTAAATTGAACTTCAGAAGGGAGCAAAAAATCCTAGAAAATCTCAACCTTCCTCAAGTTCCCATAAAAAGCCTCATTCTTCCAACACAAATAGAGATTTGGGAGGCTCAGATTCGCCTTTTCTCATACATAAGCTAAACCCCGCTATGGCTGCAAGCTTAAGGATGCTTCGTGAGACACAAACAAAAATAGCTTCACTATCTCACAATACCACAAAAGAACTGCCACGCCAAGATATAGCACGGCTCAACCATCTCATGAGGACAAAATATCATCACAGCCTCATGTCAAAGGTCTTCGTTGTAGAAATGACATCATTTAGCCACTTTAGGGCGGCTAGACTAAAATATTTTCCTCCATACTAAATACATCCAGAGTAAGATGAATGTGACAATTGAGGCTCAGTTCTTCATCAGGCACAGAAAGTCCTGCCATGCCATGGCTGCAAATATCCCCAAGTTGCATGCAACAAAATCACAGGCATCCAGGTAATTGCCACGCCAAGTTGCCATCGGGTACCCTCAATGCTCAATTAATAGCTCAAGAGGATAGACTGAATCATCACTGCCTCAATAAGGGACTATTTTGGACATTTTTTCATGATATATGTGAGCATGCAGAGATATTTCATCATTTAGGTTCAGAACTCTTCGAGTCCTGGGACATCCAGTTGGACTAGTTGGAAACTGAGCTCAGAACTGCAAAAATGGGGCAAACAGAAGGTGACAACGCCATGGCTGAAAAAGAACCAGTCGCATGTGAAAGAGAAGACTCGATCACAAGCATCCAGGTTTGCCATGCCAAGATACGGGTCAATAGTCTCCATGCCCCAAACGGCAGCTCAGATAGGCAAAATATCATCACTGCCTCTTTCAGAAAAAATGGGAACTTTTCCATAAGAGCCAGTTTGATAACTTTAGCAAGAAATATTAATGAAACAAATGGAGACCTTCAGATCTGTGAGCATTTCATACCAAAAGTATTTGGTCTAAGCTAGCTCAGAATGATCAGAAAATTGAATAGTATTACTTACATCAACATCATATTGCCACCATTTAAGGCAATGGCGACAAATATTGTTGGTTGTTTCTACTTTTGCAGAGGGTTGTTTGTTTGGTTAAAGGAGAAATCATAGACCAATCACAGGGGGAAACCACCCTCCAAAGAAATTCCTTTTTTCTCACTGTTGGCCTCATTCTTCACACTGGGCTGAGCTTCCATTACAGTGCAAATCCAGGAATACACCCAATGAATTTGGAACTGTTCTGAAACAGCAATTTCTGCACTTTGTCCACAAACAAAGCTAAAAGGGTTGTTTATTAGAGCAAAGAAAAAATCATTAACATACCAGAGATGGTCTAACACCCTGAAAAAATCCACATTTTTCTCTGACTGCCTCATGTTTTCGAGCTAAAATGAACAGGGATCAGGGTTTCCATCAAATGAGATTCTGGGTTTCGATCCCAGAGTACTCGAAGTGACTCATTGGAAGTTGAGGCTCAGATTTGTGCAAAATGGGGGTAAAGAGAAGCCGACAACACCATGGCTGCAAAATGAACGGGTTGCCTGATTTGGGTTTGCCCTGCCAAGATACGAGTCGAGTTTTCTCCATGCCCTGATTTTCAGCGCAGAATCAGAAATATCATCACTGCCTCTTTGAGAAAGATGGAACCTTTTCTATCCAATTTGTGGACAGTTCTCCAGACCAGTAGATTGAAATGGAGAGAGTATGACATTACTACTTCTGCTAGAAACAGTACATCAACGGCAACGGATTTATTTATTTATTTAGTTTTGGGAAAGTTTCACAAATATACCAACGGAGGGTTGTTGTTTTGGTTGAAAGAGAAATCATAGGTCAACCAGAGTGGACAACCACCCTCCAAAAAAAATTCCCCTTTTGATTCCCTGTTGGCCTCATTCTTCATACTGGGCTAAGCTTCCCTTACTCTGTAAACTGTAAGTTCCTGTGACTTTGTAAACTTCAGCTATTCTTTAGACAGGGTCCTAAATTACAGGAAATTACAACACCCAATGACCTTGGAAATGGTCTAAAAGCGGCTATTTGTGCACTTCATCCACATACAAAAGCTGAAAGGATTGTTTATTAGAGCAAATAAATCATTGACATACCAGAGATGGTCGACCACCCTGCAAAAAGGCCCATTTTCCTCCGGTTGGCTTGTCCTTTAGAGCTAAAATGAATAAGGTTTCCATCAAATGAACTTCGGGATTTGGATTCCGGAACTCATCTGATGTTGAGGCTCAGATCTGTGTAAAATGGGGCAAAGAAAAGATGACAACACCGTGGCTGTAAATCAACCAGTTACATAATCTGGGTTTGACCCACAAAGATACGAGTCGAATTTTCTCCTTGCCCAGAATTGACAATATTATCACTCTCTTTCGAAAGATGGACTCTTTTCCATATCAATAATGAACAGGTTCAAGACAAGTGAATTGGAAGAGAGGGAGTATTACTACTGCTGCTATCAACTAATCATCAATAGAAACATATACCATTGGTTGGTCAGAGAAATCATAGGTCAATTAGAGAGGGCAACCACCCTCAAAGAATTTAGAGAAAACAATAAACAGTACCTAGTACTTCAGAAGAGGGTTGTTAATTTTGTTTATGGGGAAATCATAGGCCGAGCAGAGGTACCCTCAAAGAATTCCCTTTTCTCTCTGTTGGCCTCATTCTTCACACTGGGTTGAACCTCCATTTTTTCTATGCTTTTGCAGCTGCTTTGCCAGTAAAAGCAGTAACAGACTGAGAGACAGAAAGAGACATCCAATTATTATTATTATTTATATATATGATATAAGGGCTGTTGATTAGAGCTAAGATAAAATCACTGGTATATCGGAGATGGTCAACCACCCTGAAAAATCCTTTTTAACTCCGATAACCTCCTTTTGAGATAAAATTTTGATGGAGAACGGCATCTAAAAAATGGGGTTCAACAAAAGCTGAAAAATCCAAGTGCGTATCTCAGTTCCTGAAATGATCATCCATTTAAGATAATCACACGCTTGCCATAGACTAAAGGGCTCAGATTTTGCTGTATAAAAACATGCAAAGAGAAAGAGACATTGCCATGGCTGCAGATACACCGGTTTGCAAATGGATGCCTTACTGGGTCGCCCTGCCAAGATACTAGTTGGATTTTCTCAACGCAGTGAGCAGATTATAGTCCAGATAGAAGCACATCATCATCACAGCCCATTTTGTCAGATCAATCAACATCAATAAAATACCTCATTTACGTTCCGAACTCTTAAAAAAAGCAGCTACCTTGTTGTGTCATTTTTACCTTGCAGAAGCACAAGCAGAAACAAACATATATATATTTGGAATCTATGGCCAAACGCCAGCATGGTTGTTTTCAGTTTCTTGATCTTTTCTTTTTCTCAGAGGACTCTTTTTTTTTCTGAATGGAGAAAGAAATCATGGACATAAAGAGATCACCCTTTACAGAAAATCCCAGCTCTCTTTGATGTCTCATTCTTCATTCATGGGCTAAACTATGATGAGGGTTTTGCAAAAACACACTTATGTTATACAAATATATATAGCACAACACCCAATTCACAAGTTCTGTTGCTCGTGACATGCCAGACCAAGAGAACATCAGTGAAGGAAAAAGTAATTCTTTTTTTTTTCTTCTGTTTTCTGAAAATCTAATTAGATGTTTTCTACCATAGCGATGGCTGATTATCATCATCAGCAAGACATTATTGGCATAGATGATAAAAGGGTTGTTTATCTATCTCATTGTAACAGAAGTACTGAAAAATTCATAGGCTAAATTGAACTTCAGAGGAAGGGACTAACCACCCTTGGAAAATCTCAACCTTTCTCGAGTTCCATAGAAAAGCCTCATTCCTTGAACACAAACACATATTTGGTTGATTTGACAACTTTATCTAGTGTGAAATCTAGTTTTAAAGGGTAAAAAAAGCAAAAAACTTCGCTAATGACCTCCATGCTTTTAATATATTATAGATATGATAAAAGGGCGGTTGGTTAGAGCTAAGATAAAATCATTGGCATACCAGAGATGGTCAACCACCCAGAAAAATTACCATTTTACTCCAATTACCTCATTTTAGTATAAATTTTGATGGACAACTGCATCAGAAAATGGGGTTCAACAAAGACTGAAAAACTGAAGTGGGTATCTTAGTTCCCAAGAACGACCATACATTTAAGGCCATCACATGCTTGCCATACACTTTAGGGCTCAGAGTTTGTTGTATATGAACATGCAAAGAGAAATCGACACACGCCATGGCTGCAAGACACCGATTTGCAGATGATGTTGCACCAAGATACGGGTCAGATCTTCTCAATGCAGTGAAGTAGATTATTAGCCCAGGAAGAAGAAAATCATCATCACGGCCCATTTTTAGATCTCTCCATATCAATTAAACACCTCATTTAGGTTCTGACTCCTAATAAAATAGCTATCTTGTTGTATCATTTCTACCATGCAGAAGCACAAGCAGAAAAAGGAAAAAGCATATACATATATATTATATACACACACACACATACATGCATATAAATGGAATCTATGGCCAAATGCCTACACAATTGTTGGTCTTTTCTTTTTCTCAAAGGGTTGTTGATGTTTTATAAATGGAGGAAAAATCATGGACATAACAGATAGTGGGCAACCACCCTTTACAGAAATCCCCTTTTCTCTCTGATGTCTCATTTATCCTTTCTGGGCTAAACAATGGGTGAGGTTTCTGCTGAACTGATACCATACTGAGTCACTCTGCCAAGACGCAAGTTGGATTTTCTCAAAAGTAGATTATACCTCAGAAAGACGCAAATCATCATCACATCCCATTTTTATCAATCAACATCAGTTGACTTGTGCCCTTAGCACCATTTAAAAGCAGCTATCTTGTATTTAGAGAGACATAAAAGTGGCTATTTGCAAAAATCAGCTATTGTAGCAGCAGAAGCAAAAGTCTCTCTCTCTCTCTCTCTCTATATATATATATACACACACACACACACATATATATAGAGAGAGATAGATAGATAGATAGATAGATAGAGAGAGAGAGAGAGAGAGAGAGAGACACACACACACAGAGAGATCTCATAGATCTGCTAAAAGGGGTGTTCATTAGAGCAAAAACAAAATCATAGGCATGCTGTTGATGGTCAACGACCCTGAAAAATCTCTTGTTTTCTACGATTGACTCATTTTAAGCTGAACATTTGATAGAGAACTGCATCTGAACGAAAAACTGAAGAACCCAATTGAATTTTCCAGTTCCAGAGAATGGACATCCATTCAATACTTCCCGTGAACTTTTAGGGCTCAGATTTTGCTGTTCTGCAAACATGCAAAGAGAAAGCAACACATGCCTGGCTGCAAGACACCAGTTTGCAAATGGTAGCCATACCGGTTTGCCCCACCAAGGTACTGGTCAGATTTCATCAATGCAGTGAAGTAGGGTATAGCCCATAAAGAAGCAAACCATCATCACTGCCCATTTTCAGATCAAGCAACATGGGTTGTCATTCTACCTTGTACATACACAGGGACACAAAATCACCCATTTTGCTATTTGGTTGTTATATTTTTCCTGCAATCCTGCTTCGGTCTATCAGAACAGCCTCTCTACTCCACAATAAAGGTAGGGTAAGGTCTACTACATCCTATCCTCAAGACCTCAAGTGGGAATTCGCTGGGTATGCTGTTGTTGTTTATACATACAAGCTAAGTTGGTCGGACTCTTCACTTTCGGTGTCGCATCCATGTCGACATGACGTAGGTGTGGGTGTATATTTGGGATCCGTACCCGATCTGGTTAACCGGTTTTCGGTACATTGACCAAATTCGAGGGAGAAATTCTGGAAAGATTCAATGATCACTACTAATCAAAACAAAAAAGTAAGGTGAAATTGAAGAAATGACATACTTTGTACATATAAATTTCAATTGTCACTCTCTTTCCTTTTATCTCCTTCCAAGATTCTACTCTTGATCAATATTATTCTCAAGCTTTCCACATAATTTCTCATAATTTAGGCTTAATAACTCTATTTTTAGAAATTTGAATTATTCTTAGCCAAATCCCCACACTTGTATCCATACATGGATCCGTATCCCCGAATCTTAAAATTTGATCATAGAGGATCCGACCACTATATCTGCACCCATATGGGACTGCCGCACCTGAGTCAGAGCAACTTAGCATACAGGAACATAAAAATGCTATTTGCAAAAATCAGTTGTAGTAGTAGCAGTAGCAGAAGCAGAAAAAGGAAGAAACATTATCAATTCAGTTCCCAAAAAAAAAAAAAGAAGACGCATTTATAGTCCCTTCTTTCATTTTCTTGTTCTGTTATTCTCAAAGAGCTGTTGGCTTTTATGAATGGAGAAGAAATCATGGACATGGAAGAGAGGGCCAACCACCCTTTACAGAAAATCCTATCTCTCTGATGTCTCATTTTTCCTTTCTGGGATGAACTATGGTTGGGATTCTGCTATAAGCATTATCATCACAACCTCATTTGAAAGACGGAAACTTCCCTACAAGTAGGTGTTTTGGAAAATTTCGAGCAACTTTTGACAAACAACAACCTATCCAGTAAAATCCCACAAACACAAGCTAAAATTAGAGGGATGTTTGGTCTAAGTTTAGAGAAAACAAGAAACAGTACTAGTACTTATGAAAAGACCGTTGGTTTTTTTTGCGGGGAAATCATAGGCCAAACCGAGGGGCAACCACCCTCTTAAGAGTTCCCTTTTCTCTGTTGGACTCATTCTAAACAGTGGGCTGAACCTCCGTTTTTCTGTAGAACACTCTGATTATTTTATTTTATTTTTTTTGAAAAAACTGGGCCGAAGCGGAAAGGGGGAGGGGATTACAAGGTGGAGAATTGAACCCTCACCAACAAGGTGAAAGTCCAGGTATTCATAAGCCAACCATCCTACTAAGCTACTAATTCCCCTAGAATACTCTGATTTATAAGAGACAATTTAAACAGAGACCCTGTAAGTCCACTAACTGTCCCTTTTCAATGCTTTTGCTGCTGCTTTATCTGAAAAAAGAGACACACTCTCACACATACACATATGAATGTTTTAGTCTTAACACTTTAGGGCTCAGATTTTGCTGTTCCACAAACATCCAAAGAGAAAGCGACATCGCCATGGCTGCAGATACCGGTTTGCGGATGATGCCATACCGGATCGCCCTGCCAAGTTACGGATCGGATCTTCTCAACGCAGTGAAGTAGATATAGCCCAGAAAAAATCAAATCATCATCCCAGCCCATTTTTTCAGATCAATCAACATTCTTGTAAATCACCAATTAAAAGCAGCTACCTTGTTTTTTCATTGCATGCATATATATATATATATAAAAAATTAAAAAAAAGTCAACATTCTTGTTCTTTTTTTCTTCTGAAAGGGCTGTTGGTTTTTTATGAATGGAGAAGAAATCATGGACATGGCAGAGAGGGGGCAACCACCCTTTACAAAAAATACCATCACTCTGATGTCTCATTCTTCCTTTCTGGGCTAAACTGTGAGAATTCTGCCATAAGCATTATCATCATAGCCACTTCTGAAAGATGGGAACTTTTCCACAAGTAGGCGTTTGGACAATTCCAGTAGTTTTAACAAACATAAGATAAGATCAGAGTATGTTTGCTGACCGCGGAGAAACAAGAAAACAGTACTAGTATATCAGAGGGTTGTTGATTTGGTTGAAGGAGAAATCATAGGCCAATCAGAGGGGGCAACCACCCTCCAGGATTCCCTTCTCTTTCTGTCGGCCTCATTCTTCATAGTGGAGGGGTGTATTTGGCCCTTTTCCGTTCTTCATACTGGGTTAACTCCATGTTTCTATGATTTTGCTGCTGCTTTGCCTTAAAAAGAAGGCACGCAAGAGCAAAGTAGTCACAGATACAGATACAAAAGGGTTGTTGACTGGAGCTAAGGATAAAATCATTGGCATACTGGAGATGGTCAACCACCCTGAAACTCTTTTTTTCCGATTGCCTCATTTTTTAGTCAAAACATTTAGGGCTCAGATTTTGCTGTATATGAATATGCAAAGAGAAAGCAACACATGCCATGGCTGCAAGACACAGCTTTGCATATGGATGCCATACCATATCGCCACGCCAAAGATACGGATTGGATTTTCTCAACGCAATAAAGTAGATTATAGTTCAGAAAGAAGTTACCCATCATCACAGCCCATTTTTTTCCAGTTTTTGCACGGATTGCTCCTATTTCGGATTAACCAACATCAATAGAACATCTCATTAAGGTTTAGTACTGTTACAAAAAACAGCTAGCTTTGTATTTACAGGGACATAAAAGTGGATATTTGCAAATATCAGCTATAGTATATACAGAAGCAGAAAAAGGAAGACCATATAGTCCATTAACATAAGCTAAAATTAGAGGGATGTTTGGTCTGAACTTAGAGAAAACAAGAAACCAGCACTAGTACTTCCGAAAGAGGGTTGTTGATTTTTTTTTATGGGGAAATCATAGGCCAAACAGAGCGGACAACCACCCTCCAAGAATTCCCTTTTCTCTCTGTCGGACTCATTCTTAATATTGAGGCTGAACTTCCACTTTTCTATAGAACACTCTTATTTATAAGAGATAATTTAACCAGAAACCCTGCAAGTCTACTTAACTGTCCCTTCTCTATGCTTGTGCTGCTGCTTTATCTGAAAATGCAGTCATACAGAAGCAAAGTAGTCACAGATAGACAGAAACAGACATAAATTAAACACATACATGGCATAATTCATAAACACACCCAAACTTGGTCTTGACTGGCAAGTAAGCACTCCAACTTTGAGAGTGCACATCTAGACACCTCAACTTGATCTCAAATGGCAACTAAACACTCCCACTCATCCCCATCGTGTCTCGTGTGTGCACGTAACACAAAAACTCTAGAGGTGTCTAGATGATCATCTTGTAAGTTGGAGCGTTCAACTGACACAACAGAGGTGTCTAGACCTCATACATATGCTAAAAAGGGCTGTTGGTTAGAGCTAAGTAAAATCACTGGCATACCGGAGATGGCCAACCACCCTAAAAAATCCTTGTTTACTCCGATTACCTCATTTTTGAGCTAAAAAATTGATAAAGCACTGCCTCTGAAATGGGGTGTTCGAGAAAAACTGAAAAAACGCAATTGGGTATCTCAGTTCCCAAAGAACAACTATCAAATGGTTGATGTACACATTAGGACTCAGATGTTGCTGTTCTACGAACATGCAAAGAGAAATCGACATGGCCATGGCTGCAGATACACTGGTTAGCGTATTGATGCCTTACCAGGTCGCCCCGCCAAGAACCAGTGACATCTTCTCAACACGATGAAGTAGATTGTTAGCCAGAAAGAAGCAAATCTTCATCACAGCCCATTTTTAGGTTCCGAAGTCTTGTAAAAGCAGCTATCTTTGTTGGGTCATATGCATAAAAATATTGGAATTCTATGGCCAAATGTGTAGATAATTCTTGATTGTTTAAAATCAAAGGGCTGTTGGTTTCTTAAATAAATTGAGAAGAAAGAAATCATTGACATAGCAAAGAGAGAGGGCAACCACCCTTTACAGAAAATCCCATTTTTTACTTCTGACGTCTCATTCTTCCTTTCTTGGCTAAAGAATGGTTGAAGATTTCAGCTAAACACTACAATATTATATCCCAAATCCCAAGTTCGCTATGACCGACCAAGGTCATAATAGGGAATGAAAAAGTAGTTCTTTATCATTTATGAAAATCTTAAGAAATATACTATACCACGGAAGGTTATTGTGGATTTGAATTATCAAGGGAACATATTAGGACATTATTGTTTTAGTACGCAAAGATGGTCATGAAGTTCTCATATATTGCAAACTTTTTTTATCATAACAGCTTGTTTGTATGGTTGTTATTTATTGTATTGTGATATTAGTTTCGCTGCAATGTTTGTTTCGATTGTTATTTAAATTTCATTGTATCATATCGCTTCATCGTTAGGTAACGATGAAAAGTCTCATTTTGTGTGATCGCGTCGAACAAGCCATTTGACCTTTTGTCTTGATTCAGAATCGACACACTATTCTTGATCTTTTAAGAAAAATTCTAAAGAACATCCAGCCTATGCTCATACTGTATCACAAACTATTCCAAGAATTTTAGAAAGCTCAACTCTATGCTGACTTTAAATCTCAGTTTCAACTAACATGAGAGATAACCAACAAAATCTTAGTTTTTAAACATCACACAACTGCTTGAAATTTCTGTGATGCCAAAATTCAAATTTGAACAGGTCAATCAGCTGCTGGATATTTTATACTGATCAGATTTAATCATTTACCTGCAGGTGTTGGAGAAAACAGGCCTCTCTTGAACTGCTGCATATACACATCGATGAGTGTAAGAGAATGAAAGAGCACCAACATCAAACTTGTATCGACACAATCTGAAGTTCCACGAGTTGAACAGACTTGAAAGTCAAAGCAAGGTTCCAAGTACTGCTTTATTGGGATAAAAATTACCAAAAGAAAATGAAATTAGATAAAAGAACACAGAAAAAAGTTAGAATTTGGCTCGAATCAACGACAGATGATCCTGGGTAATTGGAAACGCCATAACTCTCTCCAACCCTTAACAAACTAGTGGCTACTCAAAATAAAGGAGAACCTGAAATTCAAAATAATAGACCAAAGAACCACACACTATAAGTAGTTTAAAGTTATTTAAAGAAAAACTAGTAAAAAAAAATGCAAATAAACCAAGTTGGGGATGAGGCCCAGATTTTCGACTATTAATCAAAGGAAATAGTAGAGTTAACATGCTGTGGTTGCAATTACCGGCTGCCTTACAACGAAGACCTTCCGATTAGACTCACCAACCCAGGCCTTGAATCAACTCTAATAATTTTCACTTCTCATTATGCTTAAACTTCACTGCCTCTGAAACTTGGGATTTCAAGATTTAAATAAGGCAAGAAAGCTTGGACTTGTGTAGATAATTTCACCAACTAGCTTCAGTATCAATATTCACCTCCATATCTTTCAAACTTGTTTAATATCAATACCTAATAGTTTCACTCCTGGAAAATATGTAGTTAAAAAACAGTCTTTTGAAACTGGGATTCGTCTAGATATTACGTAAAAGTAGAAACAAGAACATGAATATAAGAAGGAACACAAAGTTTTGGACCAAACAAGCTGGGATCAAATTCTGTTTAGAATCATCCCAAACCAATATCATACAACATAATGATAAAGAGAAGTAAAGAACGAAAGAAACAGACCAAATATTGTAGAACTAAACTTAAGCCCAGACAAGAGGCTTACATCTGATCTATCAGAAAGAGTCTATTCCACCATGGCTGCAGAAAGCAGAGGCCTTTTGTGAGAGCACATACAACCTCACAAATTCCTTGCCTTTGCCTAGCCAAGATATGAATCAGCTCAAACATCTGAATTGCAATCTTCCTTTCTGGAGAATAATATCATAGCCTCATTCACAAAGTTTAGGGTTTAGGTTTCGGGTTTACCCATACAATTTTTTTGTGTGTGTGTGAGAGAGATACAGACAATATACATGTGCATCATGTACATAACGAGGCTCAGATGTCAATTTAATAATCACCATTGAGTCCACCAGAAACTGACATGGCTGCTACCTCTCCTGGTAACCCCGCCAAGATACCGGTTGGATTGTGACCATGCCCCATATATCAGCCCAGTATTAGCAATATCACTACTACTAACAAGCAATCATCACAGCCCCATCATTAAATATTCCTTTAATTTGTTATATGGTTCTGCTGTTGCCTTGTTAACATAAAACAGAGGAAAAATTATCAATTCTCGGTCCTAGTGGTGTAATGGTAAAATAGTACCCTGCTGAAGTACAGACCCGGGTTCAGTTGCAGCTGGTGCATTCTGTTTGGGTTCGCAGATGGTTGTCGTTAAACTGTTAGGGCTCAGATTTTGCTTTTCTATGAACATGAAAGAGAAAGCGACCACGCCATGAAGGCAGACACGTTAACAGATGATGCTATACCAGGTCTCCCTGCCAAGATACGGGTAAGATTTTCTCCACACTGTAAAGTAGCTATCCCAGAAAGAAGCAATCATCATCACAGCCTGTATTCAGATTTCAGGTGATTTGTGAAGATCCCTTCACTCGTTATCCTCATTGCTAACTAAATACTGATTTCATCCAGAAAAAAAAGTGTTTTTAATCATACAAAGACACTGTAAGGATCCATGGCATATTGGTAGCGCGTCAGACTCCAGAGTCCAGACCAGAAGGTTGTACTGTGTGTTCGGTGGACATTCAGTTTAAATTCCCGATCCATTAGAGTCCCAACCATAGACAACCTAAGAGAATTTGAGGCTCAGATCTGTTGAGGAAAATAAGACGAGAAAAATGAAGAATTGTCATGGCTGCAAACACCGGTTGCATGACACAAATTCACTTGTCACGGGGTTGCCCAGCCAAGATACACGTGTATGTGTTTTCTTTTTCAATCCATATGCTCAGAGAAATAAGGAATTCACTGCCATGGCTGCAATTTCAGTAACATTTGGATTGCCAAGCCAAGATACAGTTTTATTAGATCCATAGGTAACTTAAATATTTCTCATCAGAGCCTCCATGCTGACAGGTGAAGTGGGATTAGCAACTAAAAAGCAGCCGAAGACGGCAACAATGACATCCACATGAACATGCATACTAATTTGGTCTCAATTTCACCTCCACTTTACATCCAATTGGAACCTCCATTTCACAAGCATACCTTTCTCTTCCTTTATGCTAATGCCAATGGAAACAAACAAATTTCTTATTAAAAAAAACCCAGTAACAGCAATCTATATTTTTCTTATAGCAATGGAGATCAGGTTGAACAAGAAGCTAATGTGAACTTAAAGCAGCTCAGGCACTGAATTCTAGTCTAACATCTAGTTCATCATGTCTTTCACTTCCTATAGACAAAATGAACAGGAAAAAAAATGAAACTACAACAAACAAACAACGACATACCCATTGTGTAATCCGACAAGTGTGGTCTGGGACAGGGAGGGTGGAGTGTACGCAGACCTTACCCCTACCTTGTGTAGGTAGACAAGTTGTTTCTGATAGACCCTTGACATTATAGAACCGTATAATATGCAATAATTTGAAAATCAGTTCCAGAAAAAATATGGCTCTTATAGTGAAAACTGAAATGTTATCACATAGAACAGATGTTATAAAGATGTCTGAGCAAAACCTTATTGTATTTCAAACTCAAAGCACAAGAGGTCCCCAGTTCAGAAATTTGAGGCTTAGATACTGTTGGTCGAACAAAGAGAAGGCTACATCGCCATGGCGGCTAAAACACCAGTTGCATGCAAAAGAGAGAACCTCAGTTGCAGGCCATCCTGGAATTTGCCAAGCCAAGATACAGGTCGAACTGTCCTCAGTGCCCGATTTTGTTCAGAAAAACATTGTCATTATCACAGCCTCTTTTGCACGGATTCTCCAAAAGTAGAAATCAGAAACACACCCACACTGAGATCTACAGCTGAAGCTGTAGATTGAAGAAAATCCATGCATATGTTTCAATTGTCATAGCTGCTGACTGATGTTTGTCTCTGTATTGCATGAACAAGGGCTGTTGGTTTAGTTGCTAAAAGGAAAATCATTGGCACAACAGAGAGGGGCAACCACCCTTAACAAAAAATCCCTTCTCTCAATTAACCTCCATTTCTCTTTTTGAACTCCCTGGAAAATTTCCCAACTTTCTTCTTCTCAGAGGGCCACCTTAGCATTTTCCTTCATACAAAAGACACCATTTTAGCATAACAATACAATACAATAGGCAACAACCATCCAAACAAGCGAATAAGAGTAAAATTGAGGCTCAGATCGGTTGTTGAGACAAGAAAATGAAGACATCGCCATGGCTGCAATCAACAGTTGCATGACAGAAAGTGGGTCGCCATCCGGGTTGCCACACCAAGATACGGATCTCTTAATTTGTCTTGCCCCAATCCCAAAGAAGAAAGTATCATCACAGCCTCGGAATCCCCCCCCCCACAACTTCATGAGAAAAAATCAGTTAAACTCCATAAGACAAAGGACCATTTGAGTCGAAACTTGGGTGTCAACAATAATTCCCTAAGATATAAAAGGTTGCTTGGTTTTTCTTTTTCATATGAGAAATCAAAGAAGTTACAGAGTGGGGCAACCACCCTTCAGAAACTCCTCCTCTCTGCAAACCTGCTCTCTTTGGTTATTGTCTATAAAATCATGGGCTTATATATCAAGAAGATGAAGTACCCATCTTTCTGTGATACATCATTCTTTTGATTTGTCGTTGGAGCAAACTTTAATGTATTTCAAAGCACAAGAGGTCTCCAGCTCGATTCTGAGAAACTTGAGGCTCAGACAATGCATTTGGAAAAAGAGAAGCAACCACACGACGGCTGCAAAATCACCAGTTGCATGCAAGAGAGAGAGCCTCAGTTGAAGGCCAACCTGGAATTTGCCAAGCCAAGATATGGGTCAAACTGTCCTCAATGCCCAATTTTGGTAGAACAGAGAGTAAAACATTGTCATCATCACAGCCTCTGTTGCACAATTACTCAAAAAGGAGGAAGAAAATACACACACACAAACTGACATCTACGGCTTAAGTTGTAGATTCAAGAAACTGCACGGCCCGTGCATATGTTTCAATAATCATAGTTGTTGATTAATGTTTGGCTGAGGAACAAGGGTTGTTGGTTTAGTTGCTAAACATAAAATCATTGCTACAACAGAGAGGGGACAACCACCCTTAACGAAAAAATCCCATCTCTCTATAACCTTATTTTTTCTTTTTGGGCCAACACTTCTTTAGGAAAAATTATAGTTTTCACCAGAAAATTTCACAACTTTCTTCTTCTCAGAGGGATACATTAGTAATTAAACACTGATGAAATTCTTCATGAAACAAACATTTTCCTTCATACCAAAGACACCCTTAATAAAAATACAATACTTAAGTAACAACCATCCAAACAAGAGCACTGAAGTTGACATCAGTTGATAAAACAAGAGAATGAAGACATCGCCATGGCTGCAGACCTCGGGTTGTGTTCCGGGTTGCCCCGCCAAGATACGGGTCTCTTAGTTTCTCTTGTGTCAAGTATTACTGAAGCCTCATAATTCTCTTTCTCTCTCTCTCTCTTCTTTGAGAGAAAAATTTAGTTCAACTCCACAACATATTAGACTATTTGATTAAAAAATCTCAACAGGGTCCGGATAATTTTTCCCCAGGAATTAAGAAGTTTGATTTTTATTTCATTTTCTTTTCATATGAGAAATCACTAGAATTGCAGAGAGGGGCAACCACCTTCGAAAAAAACCTCCTAACATGAACAACTCATTTCCTAACCAACGACCATACAACCCCTTAAAGAGAATGCAACCACACCATCACCATGGCTGCAAAATCACCAGCAGCGCAAAAGAGAGAACCTCAGTTGCAGGCCATCCTTGGGATTTTCCAGTCAAGATACAGCTCCGATTGTACCCAATGCCCCATTTTGTTAACCCAGAAAGTGCTATTATTATATCACTACCTCAAACAAGGTCATCAGTGCAAATTCCTTAAGAATACACACTCTGAGATGTATGGATCATCTTCTGCTTCTGAGTATTGCATCAACATGGGCTGTTGGTGTGATTGCTACAGAAAATCATTGGCACAACAGACAGGGGCAACCACCCTTAGAAGAAATTGACCTCATTTCTCCTTCTGGCCGACTTTTTTTATTAAACTATCGCATGAAACAATACGAAAACAATATTTTTTCATGGATATTTCCATCCAGAAATATTATGTCCCATGAGTCACTTGAATTTTCTTTAGATGATGACATATTATGTTATTATTTGTTGCATTTCGATATTTAGAGTAAATTACATTCACTTCTTTAGTTTCACTTACTAATGCTTCTTGTTTTAGACAATGAGCAATTAATATTTATCAGAATTTTATTTTATTTTTTTGATGAAGTAAGAAGAATGCCATTAACAAAGCATCAAGCAGACGCACAGATTACAAAGGAAAGAATTAGAATTTGATTTGAAAATAAAAGAAGCTATATGTCCTGCCCAATAAATGATCATCTAAAACTAGTTTATAAATGTAAGATATAACATAAATTAATGGAGTCAATCAAGAGCATATATAGGGAAAAAAATATAAGATGCCTACCTATTACTTTTCACATGCACATGAACATTCAAGCAAAACCCTAGTCACTTTAGCAGCCTACAAGCACATCCAATATCTGTAACAACAACCATATCGTCCGTATATGCAGAACTTATCCCTATTCTATTATTACTATTTCTGTGTGATAAAAGGTTGTTCTCAATAGATTCTCCGCCCCTAAGTTGCTCGAACTCTTCACTTTTGGTGCCGCACCCGTGTCGATACGAAATGGGAGTGCGTTTGGGATCCATGTCCGATTTGGTCAACCGATTATGGGTACTTTGACCAAAATCGATGGGGAAAGTCGGGACAGTTTTAGTAATTTTCTGTACTCAATACAAAAGTTAAGGTGAAATTGAAGAAAATTGAATACCTTTCATAGACATTTCTGTGTCACTCCATCTCCATTCATCTGCTTCCAGGATTCTCCTCAAGCTTTCCACATAATATCTCATAATTTAGGTTTTATAACTCTACTTTTAGATATTTTAATTACTTTTACGCGAATCCCCGCACCCGTGTCCATCCATGGATCTATATCCCCAAATCTTAAAAATTAGATCTGGATCCATATTGGACATCCGCACCCGTATTGGACATCCACACCCGTCTTAAACACCCGCATAGGAGTCCGAGCAACTTAGCTGGGCCCAAGAAAAAATTAATAATTACAATAATTATAATCAAATCAAAGAATAGCCTAACAATAAATTACCAAAAGCCTTACTTGTCTGAGATGGTCAGCTGCTGCAAGAACAAAACAAAAAAAATCAATTAGATTTGACCTATACTAAAATTGGAACCCTAATGCATGGAACCACGGACTTGTAATACCTTGAAACTTTAAAATCCTAAAAATATTGTGCCTAGTAAATAGAGAAGTTTCATAACCACACACAACTAGTCAACCACCTATTCCCTTAATATCTGAAGGACCTTCATGGTTCTCCCTGAGATCATGGGCTTATATCTAAGAAGCAAATACAGTATCCATCTTTTTGTGATAGTGTGCAACATAAAATTGCACAATTTTCCCTTTAGCAACTGAACTTATGCCTAGTGAGGCAGAACTCAGAAGTTCTTTTAAACTGAAGTCATCTTAGCAAAACTTGTGGGATAAAATGACAACAAAATATAAACTTGCCCTGCCAAAAAAGTTTTTTGGATACGACGGGCATAAATTAAAGACCAGCACAATATAAGGGAAAAGTGCAAATGACCCAGTGTACAACTACAAACGCAAAGCGGACTTTCATTCCCTTGTTTCGTCGTGGCACACACCCCTCCCACAAGCAGCCCCCGGCATTATTCTAATTGGAGCAAACTTAAATGTGAACACAAGAAGTCCACAGTTCAATTTTCAGAAAGTTGAGGCTCAGATACTGCAGTTTTGCTTGGACAAAGAGAAGGCAACCACGCCATGGCTGCAAAAGCACCAGAGTTGCATGCAAAAGAGTGAGCCTCAGTTGCAGGCCATCCTGGGATTTGCCAAGCCAAGATACAGGTAGGACTGTCCTCAATGCCCAATTTTGTTAGCCCAGAACGTAAAACATTGTCGTCATCACAGCCACTTTTGCACAATAACTTCAAAATGGGAAAGGCAACAAACCTACACACTGAGATCTACGGCTAAGCTGTTGTTTGTCTAAGTATTTCATTAACAAGGGCTGTTGCTATAGTTGTTAAAAAGAAAATCGTTGGCACAACAGAGAGGGGCAACCGCCCTTAACAAAAATCCCTTCTCTCCATTCCTCATTTTTCTTCTTGGGCTAACTTTCTTAGGAAAATTCCCGGACTTTCTTCTTTTCAGAGGCTACATTGGAAACCAATTACTGATAAAATTCATCATAAAAACAATTTTCCTTTGTACCAAACACACCCTTTTAGAATAACAATACAACACAAAAGGTAACCATCCAAACAAGCTAAAGAGTAGAATTGAAGCTCAATTTGTTGTTAAAACAAGAGAATCAAGACATTGCCATGGCTGCAAACCTCGGGTTGCATTCGGGGTCGGCCCACCAAGATACGGTCTCTTAACTTCTCATGTCAGGTATCATTGAAGTCTAAAAATCCATCTCTATCTCTATCTCTATCTCTTCTTTGTGAGATGAATTTAATTCAACTCCATAACATAAACGACCATTTGATTCAAAAATCTCAACAGGGTGTGGATAATTATTCCCTGAGATTTGAAGGGTTGTTTGATTTATTTATTTTTTCATTCTCTTTTCACATGAGAAATTACTGGAGTTGCAGATAGGGGCAACCACCCTTCAAAAAAGACCTCCTAACATGAACAACTCCTTTCCTAACCAGCAACCAAACGATCCCTTTAAGAGAATGTCACCACGCCATGGCCGCAACAAAATCACCGGTTGCATGCAATGGGAAGAGCCTCAGTTGCTGGCATCCTGGGTTTTCCAGGCTAAGGTACAGGCTGGATTGTCTTCAATGCCTCATTTTGTTAACTCAGAAAGTGCTATTATTATCATATATGGATCATATTCTGCTTCTGAATATTGCATGAAGAAGAGCTATTGGTTTAGTAGCCACAGAATATCATTGGCACAACAGAGAGAGGCAACCACCCTTAGAAGAAATCCCTTCTCTCTATTAACCTCATTTCATTTTCTGGTTGACTTCATTAAGGATTCTTGGCTGTCACCTGAAAATTTCGCAACTTTTCTCTAATCATAGGGATACAATGGTAAACAAGTGCTGATTTCATCACAAAAAATGTTCTCCATCATACCAAAGACGCCCTAAGAGTATGGTTGAGGATCAGATCTGTTAATAAGACAAGAGAGTGAAGGCGACACCATGGCTGCAAACACTGTTGGCCTGACACAAAATCATAGCCATTCAGATTGCCCTGCCAAGATACAGTCCCTTTAGTTTCGTGCCCTATTGAGTTGCTCAAAAGAAAAAGGGACGAGACTATCATCATAGCATATTCTCTATCTATATATCTATCTATCGACAACATTCACTGAAAACGCCAAGTGCTTTTGGTTTAAATGCAGAGTTAGTGGGCTCTCTTCCGCTAAAGTCTCCCTGATTTCATGGGCTTATATCTAAGAAGTAGATAAAGTACCCATCTTTGTGATAGTATACAACATGAAATTGCATATCTTTCCCTTTAGCAACCAAACTTATGCCCCACTTGCGGGATACTATGATATGGGCTCATGTAAGTGCAAAACTAGCAGGATCTTATGATATGCAAATATATACTAGGCACAAAATAAGGACAAAAGTGCAAATGACCCAGTGTGCAACTATACATTATTCTAATTGGAGCAAACTTAAATGTAAGCACCTGAGCTTCCCAGTTCAATTTTCAGAAATTTGCAGCTCAGATAATATATTTTTGCTCAGAGAAAGAGAAGGTAACCCCGCCATGGCTGCAAAACACCAGTTGCATGCAAAAGACTGAGCTTCAGTTACAGGCCATCCTGGGATTTGCCAAGCCAAGATACGGGGTCGGACTATCTTCAATGCCCAATTTTGCTAGCACAGACAATTAAACATTGTCATGATCACAGACCATTTTGTACAATTCAGTCTGTCACCAAAAACAAAACGAAGACTTATTTGACATCTTTCTTTTAATTTTCTCCACACACTGAACTATTGTGTGTTTGAGTATTCATTAACAAGGGTTGTTGCTTTAATTGCTATGAAAGAAAATCATGGGCACAATAGAGAGGAGCAACCACCCTTAACAAAAAAATCCTTTTTCTCTATTAACCTCATGATTCCATAAAGCATGTTCAAACAGGCCCTTAGTTTAAACTGATGAAACTCATCACAAAAAGATCACATTTTTCTTCATACCAAACACACCCTTTTAGAATAACAATACAATCAAAGCTACAAGAGTAAAATTGAAGCTCAGATCTGTTGATAAAAACAAGAGAAATAAAGACAATCGCCATGGCTGCTAACCTCGGGTTGCGTTCCGGGTCCCCCGCCAATATATGGGTCTCTTAATTTCTCTTGCAAGTATCAAATTACAGCCTCAAAATTCTCTCTTTCTCTCTCTCTGTCTCTTCGTTGAGAGATGAATTTAGCTCAACTACATACATTAAGGACCATTTTAGTCTATAACTTCAAGGGCTGTTTGAGTTTTTTTTTTCATTTTTTTTCATCAGAATTGCAGAAAAAGGTAAACCACCCTTAGAAAAATTCCTCTTCTCTGCAATCTTCTTCTCTTCTTTCTGAGCTTAAGCTTTCAGCTTCTGGTTCATCAATGGAAGTTCATCAGTATCTTAAAAGAAGCAATGTTTCTAATTTGCCCTCATGTGAATACTTATTTACGGTTTGTTTTTGTGATTGTTTAGCCTCGTGTGTGTCGAAATGGAAGGGTATTTTGGTCTAAAATACAATTTGATTTATAATTTTTTTTTAGTGAAAATATGAACATCAACTTCTTAATCTTTTAACATTAAAATCTAGTTTCTTTTTCTTCTAAAAGATCTCTATTTTTATTTACATTTAATTATATATCATATATTATTATAAGCATGAAGCTCTAAAGTGTAAAGTTGAATTACTATTTTATCCCTATACTAAATTAAAAAGTAATAAATCTAATTAATTAAATATGCTTAAATTACTAATTAACTTGATTGACTTATTGTTAAAATAAAGTAGGAGAATGAATAATTGTAACAATAATTATTTATAAAGTTATTACGAAAAGGTATTAGAGAAACTTTTCATTTCTCTATCTGATCAGTTTTAGGTGTAATTTTGTCGTAATGTGTATTAATACCACACTTCCACTATCTTATCATTAATATTCACACCTTCATAATCTTTCCACACTCAAGAAGTTGATGGCATAATTATGAGACCTTTTGATTTTATTCAATGATGTCCTATAAATTGTGGTGTTTGACACAACAATCTATACACTTTGAAGATATTTAGGTACAATTTGGTAGGGGTGGGCATAAACACCGAAAAACCGAAACATCGAACCGAACCGAATTTTTTTAGAATTTTGGTTTCGGTATTTCGGTTTTCGGTTTAATTTTTTGTATTTTTCGGTATTTCGGTTCGGTTTTCGGTATATATTACTTTGGAATTCGGTATTTCGGTTTAAACCGAAATTTTATGCTATAATTTAATAATTTATAAATTATATTATATTAATTAATAATTATTAATATTAAATATTTTTAAAAAAAAAAAATAAAAACCCTAATACCCTAATTTTTTCAATTCACTCCTTAGTCCTCATCTTCTTGAATCTTGACTTCTTCCTCTTCATTTCTCTTGTCTTCCCTGAAGGCTGAAGCACCAACAAGGGAAGCAGTACTGCAGCAGCCACAACAAGGGAAGCAACACTGCAACAGCCGCAGCAGCCACAACAAGGGAAGTAACACTGCAACAGCCGCAGCCAGCAGCCAGCCGCCAGCAGCACAGCAGCAGCCAGCCGCCAGCAGCACAGCAGCAGCCGCCGGGCAGTCAACAGTCAGCAGGTATGTTTTTAGTTTTTACGTTTTTAATTTTTTTTCTTGATTTTTTTCATTTTTTTTTCTGATTTTGTAATTTTGTTTTTGTTACTAGACACTGGTTATTGTCTTTATTGGGAATTTATTGTGCTTTTTTTATATATATAGATAATAGATGGCTGAACAAACAGAATTTAATATGAGTGTAGCTGATCAAAGACAAAGTCGAATAAGTATGGCTGATTCTACGGATAATACACCTAGTAATAGCAATGATATGTCGATTGGCACAAAAAATAACAAAAAAAAGAAAAGAAATGGATCCTAGATCTCTTGTTTGGCAACACTTTGAAAAGATTTTTGAAAATGGTGTATTAGTTAAAGCAAAGTGTTTACATTGTAAACAATATTACGCTGCCAATACAACAAGAAATGGAACAAGTGGACTAAAACAACATTTGACTTATCGGTGTAAAGTGTATAAACCTCCGACTGTTGCACCCGGTATTCAAAAATTATTAAATATTCAAAATAACAATTTAGAGAGTTGGAAATTTGAGCAAGAGGTATGTAGGAGAGCTTTAGTTGAGATGATTATTTTGGATGAACTACCTTTTAGTTTTGTTGAAAAAGAAGGCTTTAAGAAGTTTATGAGTAAAGTCCAGCCTTTGTTTCATATTCCTTCTCGTAGAACCATAACAAGGGATTGTTATGAAGTTTATGGTGAATTGAGAATAAATTTGAAACAATCTTTAAGAGAAATACAACCAAGAATTTGTCTCACAACAGACACATGGACTTCAGTGCAAAGAATCAATTATATGTGTTTGACTGCTCACTTTATTGATAGGGATTGGGTGCTTCATAAAAGAATATTGAATTTTTGTCCTATCACTAGTCATAAAGGTGAGCATTTGGCTGAGTCTATTAGTAATTGTTTACTTGATTGGAAGTTGGATAATGTTTTTACTGTTACGGTTGATAATGCCTCTTCAAATGATGTGGCAGTTCTAGAGTTGTCCAAAAAGTTAGATATGTGGGGAACTAATTTGATGGAAGGTAAGCATCTCCATGTGAGATGTATGGCTCACATACTTAATCTAATTGTGCAAGATGGTTTGAAAGAAATTGGTCCTTCTATAAAAAAGGTGAGACAAATGGTGAAATATGTTAGGTCATCTTCTTCAAGGGCAAGAAATTTCTTGAAATGTGTTGAAATGCAAAAGATAGAATGTGATAAGATGTTGTCTTTAGATGTGCCTACTAGGTGGAACTCCACCTATTTGATGTTAGACACAGCGGAAAAGTTTGAGAAGGCTTTTGAGAGGTTTGATCTTTATGATGGTAATTTTAATTCTTTTCTTGCTACTGATGTTTGTGAAGATGGAAGTATCGCAGGGTCAATTCAATATGAAGATTGGGCTAATGTGAGGAATGTCACAAAGTTTCTTGAAAAATTTTATGAACTCACTTTGAAAGTTTCAGGTTCACGGTATGTTACTTGTAATGTTCATTTTGAAGATATATGTAAACTTGATGCTTATTTGAAATTATGTGTAGCAAGTGATGACCTTGATTTGAGTAAAATGGCTTCGGGAATGAAAGAAAAATTCAAGAAATATTGGGGGACTCCTGAAAAAATGAACAAAATGATTTTTATTGCTTCTGTTTTGGATCCTCGCAATAAATTTGTCTATGTTAGTTTTGCTCTTGAAGAATTACTTGGGGAAGAAACGGGAAATGTAGTGAATACGAAAGTAGAGGCTTACTTGAGGGATTTGTTTACGATATATGTAAGTAAGTATGGAAAAGGTTCCAAAAGTCAACCATCTTCATCTGACTCATCTGATTCTTCTGGTAGTGGCATTTCTCAAAATATGTCCAAAAATTCTTTGAGAACTAAGTTGCACATGAAGAAACAAATGAATGATTCCGGAAGTGTAGGTGTTAAATCTGAGTTGGATAAATATCTTCTTGAAGACCAAGAACCTGAATCTGAAGATTTTGATATTTTGAGTTGGTGGAAAGTTAATTCTCCTAGATTTCCAGTACTTTCACAGTTGGCTCGAGATGTATTGGCTATTCCTATGTCGAGTGTGGCATCGGAATGTGCATTTAGCACCGGTGGTCGAATTCTAGATCCCTTTAGAAGTTCATTGACTCCCAAATGTGTGCAATGTCTTATTTGTGTCCAAGATTGGCTTAGACAAGAAACCAAGCCTATTTGTGTTGAAGAAAGTTTGGAGTTTCTTGAAAAAATTGAACTTGGTAAGACTTTTTATTTTTTATTTATTTATGAAAAAAATAAAATACTTATTGTGTTGTATCTTGTATGACATGTTTCCTTTTATTAATTATAGAGATGGCAAATAGTGGAAGAAGCTCTTCCATTGTTGATCTATGATTGACTTGCAAGCGGTGAGTTTAATACATCATTTATTTAATCATATCATTTTTTAATCTTAAGTAGTATTCTAAGTTTCTAATATTTGATTTTATCTTAAAAGGTCCAAGGGTCAAGACAATGAAGAAATAATTTTGTTGGCACGTGACACTTGAAAGTTGAAAGTTGAAAGCGATCTCATGGAAGAAAGTCAAGAAACTCATTATTGTTGTTTGTTATTGTTGAAAGTAATCTCATGGAAGAAGACAAGAAGTTCAAAATACATTGTTTGTTGCTTATTATTGTTTATTATGAGTTCATGAAAGACTTTATTGTTACTTGTTAGATTGTTATTATGTTGTATTTGTGAAGACATTAACTACAAATCTACAATGCAACTTTTGTTTTAGTGTCATTGTGAATTTCAAATTGTGTGTTTTAGAACTTTTAGTGATATTGTGAATTTAAAATTTGAGGTGTTAAAGCCTAATGGCATATTGAAGATTTGAATCATTGATAATTGATATATTGAAATTTGGTAGTAAATTAGTAATGCACTTCTTTGATTTATTGTATATTTTTACTTTTTACTAAAAAGTTTTTAGCCCATTAAGTTGAAAAATGAAACAAAAAATTGTAAACTTTAAAATTTCAAAAAGCCCACTAAACAGGCCCATTAAAAAACCGAATTAAAAAACCAAACCGAATTAATAAAAACCGAACCGAATTAACAAAAACCGAACCGAACCGAAATATTTCGGTTCGGTATTCGGTACGCAATTTATAAAAACCGAAAATCGAAAAAACCGAAAAAAAAAACCGAACCGAACCGAAAAACCGAATGCCCACCCCTACAATTTGGAAGAAATTAAAAAAATGTCTATATTTATATTGTTTTTATCCTTTAATATATAGTTAAATCACTTTTAGCTTCCGTTCGTAACACTGATTACTAATTCTTCTTATCTTCATTTGTTGTTTACAGAAAGAAAATATGTACAAATTGTTAGATCCTCTAATGGAGCTTACAACGAGAGAAGAGATGTTCAAGTCTTCCCGGAGGTTCAAATTAATTTTAGTTTTCATATTATATTCGTGCTTTAGATAAGTTTTTTTTTTATGTATAATTACTCTTATTTAAAAAAATTCATTGTTATCATATTAAATATTATATTTTTTCCTGTTGTTTTTAACATGTCATGAGATCAAAAGAGAATTATTAAGAAATTGCAATCGAAGTTTTTAATTGAAGATGTTTTGATCTAATATATATATATAGGCAACAGTTAACACAATATACCGCTAGGAGTGTAAATCACATCTAACTAACCGTTTGATGCAATGTTAATTAATTTGTTTAGCTTTGGTTGCATGTTATATTATTTTGTTTAACAATTTTCATTTTAAAGAAAATTATAGCTTGTAGATTGTATAATGTGTTTTAGTTTCTATTTGAGAAATCAATTATTGAATAGGCAATGAGAAATCGTCTTTCGTGATTTAAATAGTAAGCTCGTATTCATGATTAAGAAAGAATTTTTTCAAGTGCAATTTGAAATTTTCTATTATTCTTAAATCTCATTATAAAGAATTTTTTAATTATTTTATTTGATTAAATATAGTTCTTTCAAAATCTAACACGAGAATTATGTTTCAATTTTAACATCTATTAGTAGTTCAATACAAACTTTATAAAATAGAAATATAATTAAAAATTAAATTAGTCTAACAATTTCTTAAAATTCATCCTTTAACTATGATTCTCCAAATTAACAAATCTGCAACCTGAGATGAGAGTTTTAAATAACTTTTACCGCTTTCAAGTGTTGGATCATTATGACATCATAAATATTGAATGAGTGTCACTCATTAACGATTTAATTTTGTGAAGTGAAGAAGGGGATTACAATTTAAAATGAGGAATTATCTTATATTTGAGTACACGAGAAATCACATTTCAGATATCGAACCACTTATAAATTTGCTATAGATAAGAAGAGTTTTCTTATATGCACATGTTATATATCATTCTTTAATATCAAATTTCTAGCCGTCCATCATCATATTGAGGGTCTTCAAAAGCAATAATCATTTTATTACATACTAATATTATAATTTGTGAAAGACAAATTAAATATAATCATAATCGTAATAAATATTATATCAAATATAAAATATATATTATAATATTTGTTGCATCTATACCACATATTTATTCTTTAAAATACAAACAGTAAACTCTCTAAATATTGTGCAAGCCTAACTTAACTTGTTAAATTTTTTTAGATTTATATATATATATATATATATATATATATATATATATATATATATATATATATATATATATTCAAATGAGTCAACATGGACTAACACGAGACACACGTGCAACGCACTTGTACAGAACTAGTTATATAATAAATAGCAATAACGATATTTCTTTTAATTATTTCTTGTCCAAATCTATTTTTGTGAAGAAATTAATCAAAGTACAATACAATGTGCGATAATATAGAATAACACATTCGCTCTATTAGCATAAACATCTCAATAAAATTTGGAAAGGATCCAGTGATATTCAAAATGAACATCAGTATCGTACAAAAGATGTGAATTTCAACTTGAGTATAAACGTTGAATCTATTAGTTCAAACTTGAGCACAGTACTGAATCTGCTTCTTTCGTAATTCATTTTCCCTTACTCTGCAAAGGGAAAAAAAAAAGAGAACGAAGACGAGAATTACGATTCTTCACTAATATTTAATTAAATCTATGATCTTCTTTCATTCTTTTCCACGACGACAACTAGAACGAAAAAAGGCGATCTGAAGCAAATGGCTCCCCTAAATGATGTTTGAAGCTTTAGGAATATCTACATAACATCTTTGCCTCTTTGATGGAGAAAAAATTTCTGCACAACATCACCTTCCAAGGTGACTAAATAGGAAACCTGTTAGAAATAATAATTGTTAAAAATATCAAGAACATAATATAAGAGGCTTGTGTATAATATTAGGCAAAATTTAATAACACTCACAATCTCTAAAGCACTGGCTTTGTGAAGTAGGAATCCATCTACTCTTCCCCTAAAAAAAATGAAAAATGATAGTCGTAAAGTGTTTGCTTGATGAGTCCTATATTGTTCGGATCCTTCAAAAATGTTGTTGGATATGTGTTGGATCCTCTGACAGTAATACGTTTTTGGAGGATCCAACATGGGTGGGGCAGCATTTTTGAAGGTTCCGATCAATGTAATCTCAAAAGTCTACTGATGTTCAAGTAAAACTACTTACATAGAGCAAGGCAAGTTCTGATTCACTTTAGTCAGCAAAGGTCCTTTATATCTGCCAATACTAGTTTTGGATTTTGCAATATGTCTTTCCTCAACATTGTCAGCACAAACAGGGGCACTGATATATGCATCCTAAACAGGAAAAGCAAAACAAAAACAACATATGTCAGTAAAAAATCTTCGTTTTCAGATTCGAGAAAATTCTCTAGGATTAACAGCACACGGTTTGAAACTTGGTGGATAATGGTCCTATCCGTCTATCCTTTTCCACTTATGTATCAAGTTTTTAGTCTACAACAACATTCGAACCAATGATGTGCGCCCAACCCACACATCACGTGCCGCGCTCTACCACTACGCCAAAGCCTTGGGGGCTATAAGTCATCAAATTTAAGATATAGAAAGCTGGTTTTGCAGAAAAAATGGTATCTGGTGTTAAGGTATTACTGAAGAAATGGAGATGTAGGTTTAAGATTTTGACTTTACCACACCATACTTCAGAAATAGGCCATGTAAAGACTGGAATTTGTGTTTTAGTTTTGTTTGAGGAGCATCTTCTTCGCAAACTACCAATGGATGAAATCCAACAGCAATGCACCTGCATTTACACTATCACTTTAGTCAGACGATATCACTTCTGTCACATATTTTCTCTCTGGAGTAAAAGATTGCAATCTGAAGGTACCATTTGCTTTCACTGTTTTCAAGTGTGTCTATCAGCCATTGTGACTGACTATCTCCAGCACCATTTGAAGCAACCTAGAAACAAGAAGGACAAAGTTAAACGTCAAAAGTGAAAAGCAAACAGTGAATTTTGAAATTTGTGAATAAGAATGAGAATAGTATCCTTATCTGGGAAGAAGAAAAAAGAAGGGGACTGTTTCTCTAGGACCGGTTGAGATTATGGGTGATATGGGACAATTACAACTATAATTGAAACTCATTTATAGAGTCATCCAACTCTTTGTCAAATATAAGCAGAATGATACGAACTGTTTTCATGAAGATCCGTTCTTTTTTTCTCAAACCAACTTACAATATCAAAAGAAAGAAACAAAACACGATATGTAATCAGCTGGTCGAAGTCCGGAAGCAGAATCCTATCACAGAGACAGCTAAGATATAATTTATCATATGCCATCTCACACTCATCCAAGTACAGCTGTTTATATATGTCTACATTCTTCTGAGAATTAAACATGAAGGTATTCTTGGATATATGAACTATGCCAAGTTCAAATATAAAAGACAAATAACGCAAAGATGATAAGTGAAAGTGCATAAAAAACCTTGCCAGCTGCCATAATTGGCATAGGAGAACAACTCCCAAGTTCGTTAACAGGTATTATATAATAACCTTACACTGATAGGGTAGAAGATAGATAAGAGGCAAAGAAGCTAAAATTAACTATCTTTCAAATGACATGCCATCATATTTGATGTAACCAAGGGTCTTTGGAATAAATTTTCTGAACTTCCAGAGATAAAACCAACACATAAGCTACAGACTTATCAGGAGCGGGTTAGGTAAAACATTATATAGAAAAATACAATATATATCTTACAAAGACGATAGGTGACAATCAAGTGAGCAGAAAGCTGAAGTGACACCATCTTGGTAACGTGCGTAAAAGGCCAAGTAATCAGATAAAAAAGAAACATTTACCTCATATAATCCTGTATCTACAACTATAATATCTAAGCTTCCATGTGCAAATTTGAATTGTTTAAGGTAGTGATTCACCCCTTGTCCTTCGAGAGCTCGAGTAGAGTACCTACAAGTTTAGGATGGCTGAAGGGAAACCGCAAAGACAAATCATTTCAAATGATGAAACCGAGATCTAAAAGTAAAAAAGTTATTCCAAGAGGAACAAACTGCTTATTCATAGAGGAGAATACCAGGGGATCTTCACGGAAGGAAAACGCCAAGTAGCCTGCCAAGGAAGAGACCATTAGATATTTACGATTTATCATTTCGTCGAATCCTCATTGGAAATTTAAGATTGATTCCTTTTAATCAAAGAAAGTAGTTAACGTGTTTTTGTAGTAAATACTACATGGAGCTTGCCACATGAAAGATTAGCACGTTCACAAGCCAAACATCTTTTGCACAAGAAGAGAAGTTGACAAGTTAATGTGCTACATAATGTCAAAATTGCATGGTTTAAACAACTCTTCTGAAGCCAGAGTGATACAATCAGTACCCAATTGTTGCAGCAAGATGTAATCCGTAGAACACAAAAAACGAGATGTCTTTAGAACTTTAGGTATCTTGAAAATATGAATCAAAATCAAACATTGGTTGGTTAGTAGGTGATCAAAACTTGGTAAATTATCTAATTTGAACACAATTCATTAAGTAGCTACGTGTTACATCCTACACTAGCATCATTGCTCAAATTCATATAACCACTGAATTATGCACATATAAGTCATTGGAGGGCTTACATTTTGCATAAGAGGATCATCTTCCCCAAGTTCGCTTATGTTGATAACGAATCTTGCATTGAACTTTTTTGCTACCTTCTCCACCTTCATGGAATATCAGATTCCACCAAAACTTGATCAGCCAAAAATGAACATGATAGAAAGGAGATGAATTTCATCACAGGTAACAATTTCATTTGAACATCAAAACAAAAGAAAGGAAGGACGTCTTTTGTCACAAGAACATGAATTTATTGAATTTCAAGTTTTTACAAAACTAATTACCAGAACAATGCAAAGATTTGGAAAGACTCCTAAACACACGGGAGCTAAAGGAACAGTACTAGCATGTCCAAAACATATTTCCAGTTATCTGGTATTGCTTATAGATCTTTTCTTCCATTTTCTCATATTTTTCTCTAAGTCTACATGGATGCCAAGAGACTGTAGGTCTTTCCGTACTACTTTCTTCCATGTGACTTTATATCTAACTCTTCCTTTTTAACACCTTCACTCGCCATAATTTCACACCTACTGACCCACACATAGGAGGTAGATGCATAACTAAACCTAAACCATTTCAAGCGACTTTCTCTCATTCTATCAACATGTGCTACTTGCACCTTCTAACAAATGTTTTAATCATTTTGAATATGATCCAATCTTGAATGAGTACACCTCCAAACTATACACTGAAACTGATTACCTTCCCTCAATCAACTAATGCTAACAATAACATATCCAGTGGAATTCCACAAGTGGGGTCTGGGGATGGTAGGGTGTACTCTGACCTTACCGCTACCTCGTGGAGAAAGAGAGAGACTATTTCCGAAAGACCCTCAGCTCAAGTGTAGCAAACTCAATAACTAATGCCAAAAGAAAAGAAATCCAGAGTTGCATAGGTCTCTAACTAAAGACTGAACTAACTTACAATCTTCACCAAACCAAAATTCAGCTCAAAACACATATTGCATCAACATAGATTCAAATAAAAATCATTCCTTTACACAAATAACAATAGATTTTCTTTTCAAGATTGATTGTTAAGTGTACATTCTTCAACTACAGACTGAACTAACACTGACAATCTTCACCAAACCAAAATACATTTCAAGATTCCATACCCCAACAAGTAACATTCAAATAAAAATCATTCCTTTACACAAATAGCCCAAAAAAAAACTATTTTTTAAAGATTGGTTGAAAAACTGACCTGTTTGAGAAGAAGGGTCTGCTCTTCAAGAGTTCTAATACCCCCTGTAACACTTATAAAATATATATCCATGGGAAGATCATTCACATTTCCATTCCTTATCATTGGCTTCTGATTTTGACACAAGTTAAGAACAAGAAAAAGAGACAAACATAAACAAAATTGAGTAATCAAAGTACAAACCCATGATTTCTTCATCATTTTTCAATAAAACCCAAGATTCAGTTTTTTTTTTTTTTTTTTTTTTTTTTGCAGATATAAAACTAAAATCCCAGAAAACTTATATTTTTGAAAAGAAAATTGAACCACTCACAGAGATCTTGTGGATTTAGTGTTGAGCACATGGTGACCACGTGATTTTTCTAAAATGGAAGAAGATTTTTTTAAAAACTTAAAAATAGTTAATCTATTAAATTTGGCTATAAAAAAAATGTACTTCTATCATTTCAATTTTATTGAACCAAAAATGCAATCAACTTATTTTCTGGCATTAAAATGCTCATAAAATTAACTAGATGGAGCAATATAAAACGTCACGGAGTAGTGCATTATTGATCCATTTTTTAATCGAATATGAATTAAGTTGTCGAATACATGTGTTGATAGGGGCTTTTTTTCATATATAAATAGATGAATATGAACTCCAAATTATTCATTTATGACATGAATTTCGTTCTCTCCTCGTATATTTTTAAATTTTGAAGTATAAAAAAAATAACTAATTTAAATTTATATCTCACTAACATGTGCTTGTTATGTAATTGTAATGTTGCAATCATGAATTAGACTATGTAGGTAACTATCACGCTTGTTCGATAATTGCATCAAGAATAAATACTTCAAAGTTTTATATATTCAAAATGTAGATAGGAAGTGAAAAATCGGAAATTAAACTTTCAACCAAAAAAAAAAAATACTAATCCAATCGTACCCACAATTTGCTGACAAAACAAAGCTAAGACTTATCTTATATTGTAATGTCCAAAGTTGTTACAAAAGCCAAATAAGTACTGAATTCTGTGGTTCAAACTAGCATACAAACAATAAAGCTATTTGGGATGTTGTATAAGAGAAACGCAACATCTGATAATCTGATGCAAGGTGTTATCTACAAAAATTCTTTTACAAAAAAACTAGAAATCCCCGAGTGCCGGCCGACAGGGTTCGAAACTCGATGGATAATGAACTTACCCCTCCTTGCTGCTTAAATTACAAGCTTTTGTCTGCAACGAATTCAAACTCGTGACATTCGTCTAATCCACACATCCAATGTTGCCGTTCATACCATTAGACCAATGAGGGCATGTGTTCTCAGCACATTTTAGGGGCAAAGTGAAGTGCAAATTGAGGAGGAGCTAACAAAGTAAAGATAGAGAAATTCTTGCAATCATCAAGAATGAAAGAGAAAACAGCTCCCTTTTGAATTCATTGGAGAGCTTCTTTAGATTGGACTCTTTATCTTCTTAATGATCAGTCGAGGCCGCCTCTATCAAGCATGTCTACTAAAGTCATCCTTCTAGGGAACCTTGGTGGCAACCTTAAAAACATTGCATCCTCGATCTGAATAGGCAGATGGGTGGCGACAATGACAATACCACCTTTTTTCCTGTGCTCTGCAATAATATACTCTAGCAATTTCACACCTTCGTCATCCAATGCTACTGAAGGTTCATCAAGCAACCAAATAGGTCGATCAATTGCTAACAATCTGGCGAGCTGTACCCTTTTCCTTTGACCCATAGAAAGCATCCGTGCTTTATCGTTTACTAATCTTCCAAGCCCCATAAGTTCCAAAGCTGGCAGCGACTTCCCTTGCTTGCCTTCAAGAACTTCAAACCATTGAACATTGTCAAGGACCGTGAACTTCTCTTTGATGGCGTCCTTAAGAGACAGCCAATTGAGTTGAAGTTTGTACTGTTGAAAAACACCTGAATCAGTAATGTCATGGCCATTCCAGAGTATCTCACCAGCTGATGGTTTTGAGAAACCAGCCAACATGCGCAAGAATGTGGATTTACCAGAGCCATTGGTGCCTGTTAGTACCAGTGCACCACCATCATGGAGGGAAACATTTATGTGGCGCAAAATTTGTTGAGCATTTCTCATACACGAGACGTTATTCAGCAGAAGTCGAGGAAGTGGAGGTCTACACAAAGACATCTCAAGTGAATGAAGGACCAAGATTAGTAGTAGATATAGTACTTCCTTGTTTGAGGCTGATGCTCTTTCTAATCTTGCTTGGATCTGAGAAGAAATTACAAGAGATATTATGCAATCTGATAAATTAAAAGCAAAAGTAGAAAAAATTCACAAGTTTCAGTGACTGAATGTATCCAGTCAGTTCAAAATAGAAACAAATTGTGCCAAATCAAAGTTTACTTGCTGATACAAAAGCATTATGAGCAATTGGTTAAACACATAAATAACATCATTTGGAACTCCGAATCAGGCATGAAAGCAGCACAATCAAATCTACTCATATGTTTTATACAAACTATGAAGAACCAAAACAGAAAAGGAAAAATGAAGAGGAGGAAAGAGGAAAGACTTCCATGATATTTCTCACTCGTTTTCTATGTGTAACACTCTATAATGCTACTAGGTCACTGAATTTCCCTCATATGGAATTTCTTTTCATAGAAGCACATTTAGAGAAACCGAAAAAAGCTTTGCTCCACATCCTCCTCATAGCTCCCCTATCCCTTGAACAACCAAAATCATATAAAAAGTTTATTTCTTAGGCAAGGGAAATCCACATCATTCTCATTTCTAGTTCTCCCCTTAAACAAGAAGGACCATCAAGAATTGCAATATTTTATTAAATGTAGCTCGTGTGTATCACAGAAAACAAGGTAAAGGAAAGGAGGCCTCTAATCATATTTTTCTCATCAGATTACAATCGATAAACGTGTCCCGCAATGTGCAGATACCACGCAAAGTAAGACACAGTTAACCGACTTGAAACTTGACAGCAGTTACACTCTAACATGGCATCGGTAGAAAAGTCATTAAGTTGAATGAACAACTTTTACAAGAAAATTTAGTTCCACAAGAATCATTCTTTGAAGCATTAGATTTGAAAGATTTAAGAAGAAACAAAAAACCAAGAAAAGGAGAAACTGAGCAATCATACTCCTCTTCTACTGAGACTAAAAGATACTAATTCTTTCTTTTTTTAACTACTGAGACTAGGATACAAATTCTTGGAATCTAAAGTCAAAGGCTCACATCAGAAAATCTCAGAACTTCATGAAAATAGAGAGACCCCTCTTAGCAGAATTAGACTTAGTCATTTCCTCTTCAATTGAGGCTAACATATAATTTTTGTTATATAAAGTGAAAGAAAATCTTAGATTCACAGACTGTACTTCAAAAAAGACATGAATGAATTAGATAGTCCTAGTAGTTTAGAGAGCTTGTTTTCCATTCCGTACTTGGTCCAAATGATCCTTTAATACTTCTCTTAATAATCAAAACATATTACCAGAACAATCAAGTTAGCACACTAGCCAACTGAATGACATTTGGGAAGATAAAATTGCAGTCTGCACTTATGGCATTTGAAAGTTCTTTTTGCAAAAAAATACCTGGAATTAATTTAACATCACTTCCCTCTCTTGGAAAAAAGTGTGTATAGCGACATTAATTCATGAATAACAAAATACAGGTAAGACTTACCTTCTACATTAGACAAAAATATGGCAACTGAATGCACCAACTTCCTACCATAACAGGAAAAGTAATTTATCTCGATGATCGAAGCATTCGCATGGAAATTAGACCAACGAAAGTGAAATAAGAGGTCTCACTTTTCCCTTAACATTCCAAATGATTCAAAACTCCTCAGTAAAATCTACAGCATTGAGTGGAATGCACTAAACATATACAAATTGTGATCCTATATCCCAATTTATGTCACTGTTTTTTCCTTTTAGTCTTTCACAAAAGTACCCAATTTTCTTAAATAAAAACTTGGTGCCCACACAAACACCTCACATAAACTGAAACATTGGGATTAACAACAACAAAGTTGGCCTCTAGAGAGTGTAAAGTGTACATGGATTTTAACAAAAAGCAATCAATACCAATAAATTCAATGACAATCATTCAGCATACAATCCTTAATTACACATCTAAATCCAAACAATCATCGTTCTTCCAATTTTTCAAGTTTTTCAATTCAATCTAACAGATACGGTATAACAAAACAAGGTAAGAATGAAAGTCCATTAATACTCACACATCATAAGCATTTCATCCAACAAGTTATGATCACAAGCTGAAATTCCCAAAATAAATAGAAAAGCAAATACAGAAATGGAGATGACAAAAGACGAACTTTGTGATTTTCTACAGCAAATGGAATCACCTCCGGCCGTTCTGCTTACCGCCGTCCGTCGAGCTACAGCTAGCAATGAAGTATTTTCTCAGAACAAAGTTGGTTGCCGGAGAAGACTTCGGCCGACTTGCTTTGGGTTGAGATGTTGGGCTTATAAACAAAATAGATGCCCATTATTTTCTGGGCTGAGCCCAGCTAGGATCATGGGTCAAGCCCACTATTTTTGTTCGGCTACCTATTGATTGTTATTGGTTCGATTATTCATTTAACCGTTAAGATTTTATACATTGAAAAATATTTATAAGCAAGACTACAAACAAAATGAATCATCCACAAGTGTTGATAAATTGAATCTTGTTCTAAAGAGAACAGAATAGTCGAGAGTTTGACTCAGCTAAAAATGAAAGTGTGAAATTAAATCTTGACTTTATATATCTAATGATATAAATATAATTTATTAATTTACTATTGATTTATTTGTTAACCCGTTAAGAAAAAACTTCAAAATAATAATTCAATATAAAAAAAAGGGGTTAAATTGTTACCATAATTGCAGAACCAATAATCCATTACAAAAAAAAAGGTTCCATTTAGAACAACCTAGTCTTACTGATTTAATGATTTTAAAATTTGTTGTTCTTCAACATTTAAAGTAAAATAATAAGTGTTAAAAAATATCTCTAACATTAAAATAACAAATAATTTTTGTTCGACATAGTTTATATTTTTATATCATAATATAACACTAGTTGTCTTAAAGTGCATAAAAAATTATGCTTTATTCCTATAGAATTTATGCTTATCGAGAACAAATTTAGTTCAAAATTCACAAGATATATTTTAAAGAAAAGATAGATAGTTCCTACAAGACTTTTGTAATGCGAAACAAAAGTTCAATTTCAAAGCCCATAAATTTACGTCATAAGAGTCACAACTCATTCATATGAAACTTATGCCAAGTGAGAAAAAAAAACTCTAAACTTATGTCGAGTGAATTATATTTTATACGTCTTATCCAAATAATTTAATTTGTACAAAATTTGAGCCGAACAAGACGAAAATTTTCTAGTGAAGCAAAAGTTTTCTAAACTTACGCCAAACAAAACTAAGTCATAAATAAGACTATTTTGGCTCACAAATTTTCACTAAAAAAACAACAAAAAGAATTTGTGCAAAAACTTCGAATTTTATGGGGAAATTTGTACATTGGCCCAAACCAAATTTGCTCCAATGGGGCTTTAGTTCATACATTCACCTTAGCCCTTAGCTCGGTTGGGATTATTATTAGGGAAAATTATATAAAATAGCAAATTAATAATCTAAATTAAATGAAATAGTTAGGGTTTAATTTAATTGTGCTCCATAACAAACATTAATTAAAATTTGTCAGCGTCTCTCTCCCAAAAATCTTGCTCGCCACTCTCCATTCTCGCTCGCCTCTCTCGCTTTTATACACAGAAGTGTATAATTCTGTTTCTATTTTGTATAAAGCGAGAGAAAATTGTATATATACAGATGCAAAAATGTATATCTTCGTGTTATACACTTAATTATACAATTTACAAACATTTTACTTCAAATATTGCAGAGAAAAAGGCCAACGAATTATACAATTGCGAATTATACAATTGCACTGAAATACAATTTTATCTAGCTTTATACAACAGAAGTATATATATTGTGTTTCTGTTTTTGTATAAAGCGAGAAAAACATATTTCTTCTTGCTATACACTTATAATTATGCAATATATATACATTTTAATTCGATTCAACTGTATGCAAAACAAATTATACAATTGCAGCGAAATAGGCCAGTGAATTATACAATTTAGGCCAGCGAATTATACAATTTAGGCCAACAAATTATACAGTTTTATGTTTGCTATGGAGCACAATTATGCAAAGTTTGCTATAGCATACAAATATGAATTTTTTGTTTGCTATATGTGAAAGTTGCCCTTATTATTATTATTATTTTAATTTCGAAATTAAAAAGAATCAACCAAATATACATTATAAAAATACTCATATATATTTTATTCTTCATAACTACAAACAAAATGATATATTCCTTTAGATTTTGCATGCAAGCTAGCTCTTTCTTGCATGTTGGAGATATTTAAATTAAGTATCAGTCTCATTTTTTAGTACTTATTAAATAATTGTATTCAAAATTTAAATTTTGGTAATTCATTAATTACAAATTATATAGAGTGGATATTCCTTTTCTATCTTATTTTGTTCACTATAAGGTTTTTGTTTAACTATCCAAATGATTATATCAAAACTAGCCGCACTTGATAATTAAACATATAGAGTAATTAATAAATTCAATTGACTTTATATTACTTCCCCTATTTAAAAAAAAAAAAACATATTTTAACTTGAAATGAAATTTACGAAAAAAAATAAAATAATATTATAGTCTTAAACGTATTACGTGAAAATTTAATTAAACTGAATTTGTACCTAGCCAAAATTAATTATCTTGTGAACCACAAACAATAATTAAACTGAATATTCCCTAATGTCCCACTCCTTATTACTCTACTATAGTAGTATTAAATTTGTGGCTTTTAGCATAAAAAAGTTAAAAATCACATAAAAAATAATTTAATCCAAACCCCACATAGTATCCATGCAAAAAAGTGATTTCCATGTTCAACCCTTTTGTCAATTCTTTCTTGTGGACTCATTTCTTTTACTTAATTAATTAAAGCAACCCAATTTGGCAGTGTTTTGTTTCCTCATTATTTATTAAAATAAAACTTGTTATACAATGTTGAATGGGGTATTAAAAAAAATCATAAATATAATATAATCTATAAATTATTAGTTTCAAAATATTCAATCAAATTATATTTTATTCTTTTATCTCACGAGACAAATATATGTGAAATAACCCTTCTATATTTTTGCATGGAATGATCAGTAAGCCAAACATAAATATAAGAAACAAGACATAATAAAATATAAACTTCAGTACTACATGTCACACCCCTTTTTTTCTCAATAATAATTTTTTTTTTTCCAAAGAAAAAAAGTTTTCCCAATTAAAGTGACATTTTGAAAAGGGATAATTATTATTCAAAGTTGCCACTTGGAATTGAGTTTTGGTGTTCCAAGTCACATTATTTAAATCCTAATCAAAAGGAAATTTGACTCTATTTTTATTGGTTTGCGAACTAGAAATCCGGGTAAGAGATTCTGTTGACCGAGGGGAAGGTGTTAGGCACCCCTCGAGTCCCGTGGTTCCAGCACGGTCGCTTTATTAACTTTAGTATGACTTAACTTAATTTTTGGACATTATATTATTTAATTAATAATAAAATTGTTATTTAACCTTAAATTTATTTTAAACTAATTTGAAATTGGCTTATTTATTTTAAATGGTTGTAATTTTGTTTTATTTTTTTTTTACTATGCGTCTATTAATTTTAATCATGAAACATCTATATTTGTATTTTTTTTTATTTTTTTAATGTTATTATAGAATTTTTATTTTTTTTACAAATTAGAGTTCGTGTGAAAAAGAGATTTTTGAGTTCAATATAATTTAGGAATATATATTTATTTATTTACTAGATAAAAAATAAGAAAAATAAATAAATTTTATAAGATTTGAAGTTAGTTTTTATAAAGAAATTCTAAATAAATTAGGAATGTTTTATTTTGAATTTTATATATATATATATATATATATATATATATTATAATTTTCTGTAAAATTTGTGACTCTCTGTTTTTTTAAAAAAATTTATTTTATCATTATTTTTATTTTATTATTTATAAAGTTTGTCTTCTTCTCTTTTTTTTTTCTTTTAATTTTTTTTTAAAAAAATTTTGTTACCTTTTTGTTACGTTTTTTTTTTATCATTCATTTTTTTTCTTGTTTTTTTTTTTCTGCTTCTTTCTTCTTCTTCTTTTTTTTTTTGTTTTTATTTTATTTTAGATTATATATATATAAAAAAATTCTTCTGTAAGTCTGTTTCTCTCTTTTTATTTTTATTTTTTTATTTTATCGTTATTTTTATTATATTATTATTTTATAATTTTTGACTTCTTTTTTTTTTTTCAAATTATTTCATACTAATTTTGTTACTCTTTTTTTTATTCGTTCTATTTTATTAATTTTAAATTTGTTTTTTTTTTTACTTTTTACTTCTCCCTTTTTTTTCTTTTTTTTTTTACGTTTTTATATATTTTTTTAATTTACGTTCTTTTTTTTTTCTGTTAAAAAAATTTTGTTATGTTTTTTTTTATTATTATATTTTCATGCTTTTTTTTCTTTTTATTTTTAAAATCTCTTTTCTCTTTATATAATTTCTCAATTTTTACTTCTGTTATTATTATTATTATTATTATTATTAGTTTATAATATTAATCTCTAAATGAAATTTATTTACCTTTTAATTACAATTCTACTTAGATTAGTTTTTCTTTTTGAAAAATCATTTATTAGTTATTATTTTTATATCCTAATCTAACAAGTCTACAATAAATTCAACAAAAATCTTCTAAAGTGAAAATAAACGGAAAGATATATTAATCTATTTAAATTCAACAACTCAATATCATGAAGCAACATAAATTGCAAAATCTATCTAAAAAAACATAATAATAGTAATAACGTAACAATAATCAATATAATACATGTGATTTGAAGTATTTCATGCTATTAAAATCAACTTTTCATAGAAGTAGTATTATTTAAATCACGCGAGAATTTATAGTTACCTCGCTGCGAAAATTGATACCACAAAAGCGAGCTGTATCCACAAATTCGGAATCACGATCAAATCTCTAACTCTAACCTAATTCTCAAATGAAATAACTCATTTTTTTCTCTATATTTCTCTCTGTATTTTTCTCTATATCTCTCTTTTCCTCTCTGTATTTCTTTGTATCTGTCTGTTTTCTTTACATCTCTCTGTGTATTTTTTCTTCTCAGAATATGTTTTTTTATAATATTTTTGGTTGAGGGTTTGGTGCTAATTAAAAGGAACGTAATAGAGTTGGATTAGGATTTAATTTGAAATATTGTTGAGGGAATTGGGGTTGAGATAAGGATGGATATAAAATAAATAAATAATAATAAAAGAAAATTCAAAAAAATAATTGAAAAAAAAAGGGGTGTGACAGATG